CCCATCATGTAGACCATCTCTTTGCTAGATTAATTATTTCCTTTGCTTTTTAATTCCATGGTTTCATTTGTTGATTACCTGTCTTATTTCCTAAACAACTTGACTCTCATTTAGAAAGTCCCTACCTATGTCTCTCTTGTGAAATGCTTTCACAACTTCTTCCTTGAGCACTTTCAGAATTTCAGGTCTTATGTTAAAATCTTTGGTCCATTTGGAATTGATTTTTGTGGGACGAGATAAGGCTCTAGATTCATTCTTCTACATGTAGATATCCAAATTTTTCTAATATCATTTCCTCAAATGAGTATTTTTGGCGTCTTTGTCAAGAAATCAGATGGTTATAGCTATGTGGGTTTGTATTGATCTCTTCTATTCTGTCTCATTGATCAGTACAACTAGATTTGTATTACTATCATAGTATCGTGCTGTTTTTTCTTTTCTCTTTCTTTTTTTTAAAATTTTTACTATGACTCTATAGTGTATGTTGAAAACAGATTTGGTGATAGCTTTATTTGTTTATCTTTTGCTCATGATTGCTCTGAATATCCAATGTCTTTTGTCTTTTGTGCTTTCAAATGAATTTTAGGATTTCTTTTTAATTTCTGTGAAGAATTTCATTGGAGTTTTGATGAAGAATTGCATTTGTTATATAGGTATTTTGGTAGAAATAGGTTTATTTCAAGTTACTTTATTTATTTTTTGTGGCTGTTGTGGTAATTCCTTTGTTCAGCTACTTGTGTCTTCTCCACTTTCATTGAATATTTAGTTTCAATATAGAGGTTTATTTACTTTGTTAGGTTTATTTCAAGTTACTTTATTTATTTTTTGTGGCTGTTGTGGTAATTCCTTGCTCTGGTTCTTCTGTTCAGAAGAATGGAGGGCTTTTACTAGAGTCTGAGCTGTTTTACACCAATCGTGCTGGGGTAGCACCTGCCTTCCGAGCAAACTTACAGGAATATTCATGCTAATCACTTGGTCCAAGTTTTGAACTCCTTCTTTAGTTTGTCTACTTGTGTTTATTCTGCAAGTCTCTAGGGTTATTGTGTGTTTATTTTGTTCTGAGCCCATGGATGTTATTTGTAGGAGGCTAAGATTATTACTGGTTTCTCCTCTAGACAAGACACTGAACACTGGTTTGATTTTTAAATGTCCTTTTCCCCAGAGTAAAGATTAAGCACATGCTTCTCTTCTGATATTTCCTTCATACTTCTAGAATCAGCTTCCTTCAAGGCTCATCTGGTCTGCTAAAATCCAGGCCTGACATACAGCTGACCTTTGGGTGATGCATTTTGCTGGGCTATAGATGACTCTTCATCGTCTGGTGTGAGGAACAGCAGGGAGTTTAAGCCAGTCAAACTCTTTTAGTGGACTATTAGTGGGATTCATTTTCGGTGTCTTCCATTTTTCTCTGTACTGTATATTTTCTTTATTTGGTTTCAGCACTTTTATCTTGGGTGCCATAATGTTTTGTGTATGAATGCTACAAATGTCATAAACACAATGACTTGGGGACCTAAGTGAGAGAAACACTGGAAATAGCTGGAATATGAAAAACTGTAGAGCTGTTGATGGCTCCAAGAAACAAAATTCTCCATTTGAAAGGTCGAAGGAAATAGGCTGATGAAAAGACCTTCCTTTCTTGTATTGACCCCTCTCCCATTTAGTTCATTACCAATGCAAAAGCCGTCTCAGTCTAATTATGTGGATCACATCAATTGAAGTGAACATTCTACTGCTAATGTAATAAAGTTAACAACTGACTTAAATTATACGATATTGATTTTCAATTTCTTTATATTTGACCATTTCCAAATGAATGCTTGATTCAGGAAGATAATGTGGCTCATGGATAACTCTGAAATATTACTTTTTTCACATGAATTTGTACATGTATTTATTATCTAAACATATAAAAATGTATATATACATTAACACAGATATATATGTATATGCATATTACCTAATACATGTACATACATATGAATATGTGTGCGTATTATACATACACATATATTTCAATTTTTTTTTCTTTTTTTAAATTTTTAAAAAGTATTTATTTATTTTTATGCATATAAGTGTATTGCCTGCATGTAGGTAAGTGTACTTTTGTTGTGCAATGCCCACAGAGGACAGAAGAGACTGTTGGATCCCCTGGAACTGGAGTTATGGACAGTTGTTAGCTGCCATGTGAGTGCTGGGATTCGAACTTGGGGAAAGAACAGTGTTCTTAACGACTGAGCCATCTCTCCAGTCCCACATATTTCAATTTTATAATGATACTTTAAAGAAGGATCTGATTTTAGGAAAGAATACCCTGCCTCTTAGGATGAAAGTTCAGTGCTAAGAATGGGAGAGGTGAAAATATTGCTTGTTAAGAAAGGGAAGTAATGGTGGCCCTGCACCCTTGTCTTTGTTTCATGTTTATACATGAACACAGAGCTCTCTTGCTTTTGTCTCCATGCAGTGATCTTGTCTACTTGCTGTTGGCAGTGTCTGTATTCGCTGTGTCAGACTATAGCTTAGCGCCCTCTTCTTTATTGCCAGGATCAGGGCAAGCTTATTACTTCTTTTCTTGTTCTAATGGGTAAAAAAATAGGGCCTTGCAGGTATGGTATTTAAAGACACAAATTAATTGTAGATGATATGGTAGAAAAGATGTCAGTGAGAAACAAACACAGAAGCTGTGAGCAGACTTATTTCCATTCAGTTCCAGGAAGTCTTTTTTTTTAATTCTATTTTTAAAAATTTTTAATTGACATTTTGCGATTTTCATATAACACAGTTTGATAGTATTCACATCCTCTCCCTTATCTGCACCTCCCCTTGCTGCCCCTGCCCAATTTAACATATACATATGTATATATGTATGTATATGGCCTATAGACTCTGCTTTGTGTCCCCAAATGTACAGTGTGGGTCCATCCATGGGGCCCATCAAGAGTCCCATTCTTGTAAGACACTGTCTCTCCAATGCTCCCAGAAGCTATCAATTGCCAAAAATTCCTTAGGTTGGTTTGGGATTTCTTGCCCACTTCCCCATGTCTATGCTAGGATTTTGTCTGGTTTGAACTTGCATGGGATTTACATATGCTGTCACCATTGCTGTGAGTTCATATGAGTAACTGACCACAAAGACTCTGTTTGTGGTCATCCAACCCTCTGGATCTATCTATCTATCTATCTATCTATCTATCTATCTATCTATCTAGGTACTGGATCTATCACTAGGCACTTGATGAGGAGTATGATTTTTAGAAGCTAGCTCTGAACAAATGACCTCTTTGGAAGTGACAAGTGGAGAGAGTTCAGAGTCCTATTAGTGTTGGCTGTATGTATATGTGTTTAGGACTGACAATTTGGGATTGGATAACCTACCAGGAGGCTTGCCCTGGAGAAAAATGATTCTCCCTACGTCAGAAGCAATTGACTGTTCTTGGTTCTTCATCTAAGAGTGAGACCATGTGAAATTTTTCTTATCCACATTGGCATGTTGACTGGTGAAGTCATCATGCAAGTCTTGTGCAGGCAACCACACTGTTGAAATTTCATGTGTACAGTATCTTTGTCATGTCTAGAAGATGCTATCTTGCAGCAGGTGTTGTAGTTCTTTGGTCCTCACACTCTTTCTATCCCCTCTTGTGCAATATTCTCCAAACCGTAGGTGTAAGGGTTGTCCAACTGCTATTTGACCCTGTGTAATCCTGTTCCTTGAGTTTGGGTGTGACTTGTGACTTGTTTCTAACCTACAGAACATGGCCAAGGCTATGGGGTATCTATCACTCTTGTGCCAGTTATAAGGAGTATGGCTTCTGTTTTTTTGGTAAACTCTATATTGCCTTCTTGGTTTCATGCCTTGTTGTTAGAGGGCCCACTTTCAAAGACCTCTGGTCTCAGTACCTCTGGTCAAGACTAGTGCCTCCAGTAGTATTTTCAGATGAAATGCAGATTGGCTGCCACCTTGACTATCATCCTGAAAGAGTCCAGGTGCCATATATAGGTGTGCCTGACTTCTCCTCTTCCTCCTTTTCCTACTCTCTCTTCTCCCTTCCTCTCCCCCACTCCCATTTCATATTTCCTCCTCTAGTTTATGATAGAATTTCTTTAGATGTGAACATAGCTAACCATGTATGCTGTTGCTCTGAAGAGCAGATACGATAGAGGCAAAGGGCAGTGTTCACATAATAGCTATTACCCTTTTGTTCAAAAGCTGCAGTAGATTTGCAGGAAGTATCTCTTGATCAGCATTGCCAAGGAATTCTTTTCTTCAAAGCATCATTGTATCTTAGTCTCAGGAAACCAGATTTATTCTTGTAAGATTTTGCCAAATACATCTCAGTACAGATGACTTTTTAAAAAGTCATGTTTGAAGCCAGGCATGGTGGCGCACACCTGTAGTCCCAGCACTTGGGAGGCAGAGGCAGGCAGATCTCTGTGAGTTCAAGGCCAGCCTGGTTTATATAGTGAGTTCCAGGACAGCTGGGGCTACAGGGAGATCCTGCTTCAAAAAGAC